CGACTGGCATTCCTGCTTTGTTTTGCTTGAGAAACTATAGGATTTACTGGCAGAAGATAAAAAGTGCCTCAAGCAAAACAAAGCAGGAACAACCTAAACCTCCAGGCACACAGTCCACAGCGAGAAGCTGCACAATCACACACAAAACACAAGCCCGAAAAGAACCAGCACTGCTGGCACCCAGACGCGGCAGCGCCAGCCCAAGCGCGAAGCCGCGAGGCACTTTTTACCTTCTGCCAGGAGGATATAGGATTTACTGGCAGAAGATAAAAAGGGCCTCAAGCAAAACAAAGCAGGAACAAGCTGAACCGCCAGTAAATCCTATTATTCCTTTCGGGCGACTCGACAAAGTCCGAGGAGGAGCTGTCCTCTGGCTCGAGAAGTGCTTGCGCCCGCAAGGGCGTCATGCGCCTCGCACCAGACAAGAGCGCTTCCAGCGTCAGCTGCATAGTGAGGCGCTGATAGGTGGCGGCGCGTTTGCGAGCTAAGACCTCAGCAGCATGTCCGTCATCAGGCACGAAGTGCCGACCAAACGCCGCATCCTCAAGAGGCATCGAGCGCTGAGCAATGATGTCCGCGAGATACCAGATGAAGCGGAGGGTGTCAGGATGCAGGGTACCGTCCGTCGAGATGGCAAGAGGGATGAACGCTCGAGGAGTAGTCATAGCATATGCAGCGCGATGTTTGCGAATCTTCTCAGACGCTGCAACATGGAGGGCGTCGAGGTTGACCTCCCCCCACTTGGTCAGGTCGGCAGAGCTACCAATGTAAGGGTGGACCAACGTCACGTCCGCCATCAAGCCCTCGTACTGCTCGGACCCTCGATCGCGGATTCCAGGGATGTGGATATCGCCCTTCATCTTGCGGCCATGAGGATGGGAGGGTACCTGCCGTCGAGAACGAGGATCCCCCACTGTATCGATGACGCTCTGAAGACCAGCTTCGTTCAGCATCGACCGAATCGTACGAGTAAGGTTGTCATGCGCCGTGGGAAGCTTGGAGGATCGGCGTTTGCAGGTCTGGAGATGATGTGCAGCAACGCAGTCACCCTCGAGTTGAATTCAGGGCTGTCGGGTCGGATGGAGTACTAGAGGTTTACTCGCAGAAGGTAAAAAGTAGAAGATCACGACTGAAAGAGATCTACACTCATTGAAACCTGCAAGGCTGCTAATGGTTGAAAGATAAGGCCTACAAGGAAACAAGTCGAGAAGAGTTTCATTGATTTTTACGAGCTGGTGGGGCTTATCCTTCGAGCGAGAGATCTAGGCCTCCCACACACTCCCGTGCATCTCCCTCAGACAGAAACATCACACTTTGCACCAACTCAATCCCAAGGTCTTCCAAACTCCCTCGTTGTTTGCTCGGCTCTGTCTCGATTGACAAGGTTTGTGCATGCTGCCAACCTGCCGTATTGGCTCGAACTTCTGGGAGGACAAAGATCAAATTCGCTTTCCTGACTTTGTTCAAAACAGTAATGTTGGCAAGAATGTCATACAATGGTCCATAAAGCACGGGGTGCTGCTTTGCCGTTGTTATCCGGAATAGATACAGCTCTCCTGGTGTCTCGGACAGCATCAACGCATCCACGCATAGGAAAGTCTTGGATAAAGGCTTGTAGTACGTCCTATTCTGTAGATGGCGATTCAAACTTTCAGGTCCTCCCGAGAATTCCACAAGTTTACTTCTCATCAATTCAATCTCATTGAGAGTGCTGTCATCATGCCCCTCCCCCAACCTCCTTGCCTTTCTTTTCCCTTCTTTCCTGAGAACGGGGTGCGAAAGAAATTCAAACAGAATCCCATTTGAAAGAACGCGATCACTATAAGGCTGGCTGAAGGCAACTTTTAACGCCATATCGAGATCGCGCTTGATCATCCACTTGGAAATCAAAACCTTCGCATGTTCTGAGCAGATCTGAGCCTTTACGGAATCGTATGTTGGGCTTGGAACAAGGTGTACAAGATTCGAAGGGAGATCGAAATCTTGATCATACACAGCTCTGACCTTGTCATCCAAATCTCCAATGCTAGTGAATTTTTGAACTTCCCTAGTGAATTTTTGAATTTCCCGAATCAAAGTGGAGTTTGAACTCTCTAAAAGCATTCTGGGGATGTTTCCCCAAGTCTCGATAGTTTGTTGTGCCACTGCAGCATCTAAGCGTGTCTTGTGCAGCTCTTGAAAGATAGCCATCTCGTCGTCCGTCCACACCGGCATGAAGAACCGTTTGGCTCTGCCATCCTTCAACAAAGTTTTGAAAACACGCTGTTTGGGATAGGAGATGATGATGTTCTTGGTATATCCAGCACAAAAATACGTTGACACCTCCGGGTAAAGGTCGCAGAGATACCAACCTCTGTGTTTGAACAAAATTGTCTCTCGGATCATTGCGTTATTCTTCACACGAAACCAAGTGCCTTCCTTGAAATGAAAGTGATCGTCTCCGCGTTGATAGTAGACGCTCTCTCCTGTCTGAAGTAAATACAGGAGCAAATAAAAAGCAAAACAAGACTTTCCAATCCCTGGGTTGCCCATAATGATTATTGATTCAAAAGATGTGCGATCTTCTCTTGGTTTCAATGTTTCCGGGTCCAACCCAAAGTTCATCGCAATGATATCCTTGACATCACGGTAGCACTCACGTATCAAAAGCTCGTTTCCACCAAGCAGTTTTGCTCCTTCCGGCAAACGAACAGTGGTTTGATTGGCATCGATGCTTCTCGAACAAGATGTATTCCACAGCCCGGTGAGAAACACAAATTCTTGATCCTTACCTGTTCAAAACGATTCATCATACAAAATCAAGCAAATCTCTTGACTGCTTACTTTCATCGTAGAAAAGGTACAGTGGGTCATCCACATGACCCAAGCTGAGTAGTATAAGCCTTCGCAAATAATCCTCTCTTCGCGTCACTTGAGCCCGGAGCTCGGCTTTCTCCTCCTCATCCTTGCTCGCCATGATCCTCGCCCGTATCTGTTTTAGTTCCAGCCTCTGTCTCTCGATCTCGAGCTCGGCTTTCAATGGCTTCTCCTGAGCCCGGAGCTCGGCTTTCTCCTGCTCATCCTTGCTGGTTCTGATCTTCTTCCTTTGGTCCGAAGGGCGACCATCGTCCGAAGGGCGACCACCACGGAGCTTCGCAAGCGGCGGCATCATGTTTACGGTAGCAGTGAGACTGGAAGCAAGACAGAGGTGCGATCCTCTTGGCTCTAGGCTCACTGTGCCATGAGTAGCTTCTCGAGCCACCAACAGCATGTGGGCCAGCAAAGCTAGCAACGTCGCTGCGGCCATGCTGATACTCCTTCAATGTTTACTCAACATTCAGCTAAGGGTAAGACAGAACCAGTCCGCCTCAGTCCAGTCCGCCTTACAAAGCAAAAGGCAGATACTCATTTCCAATCTCTCTACCCGCACAACACTGCCTTTTTGATCTCTCGAGTCTTGTGACTGAGGCGGATGCTCTCTTGCTATGCCTAGCCAGGGGGAACTTGAAGAACGTCGCCGCTGAGGGATGGCGCGTGGTGATGGCAGCCTGAGTGATTTGTGAACTTCCGCCCTCATGGTCAGTGTTGGGCTTCAAGTCAAGTTCATAACTTGAAAGAGACGTGGCTGACCACTGCCGCACTCAAGGATGCTGTGGTGGCAACGAGCTAAATTTTGTTGAGGCGGGTTTGTCGGGTTTCAATAGAGGAGGGATAGAGAAGAAGAGAAGAGAGGAGAAGAGAGGAGAGAGGAGAGATAGAGGAGAGGAGAGAGGAGAGATAGAGGAGAGAGGAGATAGAGGAGAGAGGAGAGGAGGGAAGAGAAGAGAGGAGGGATAGAAGAGAGAGAGAGAGGAGAGAGAAGAGAGGGGGGGGTGACAGGGGGAAGCAAAGTGGAGCGCATGGGAAGGAGAGGGAGGGAGGGGTGGATGAGAGGATCGAGATGAGGGCGAAGGTTGTTGATGGTCAGGTGCTCACGTGGCTAGTCCAGGCCATGAAGCCTTGAAGCCTCAGAGACAGCGAGGTGAAGAGTGAGTGACGGGAGGGAAGGAGCCATGTCAGACGCCCTCTCAAAGAAGGAGCAGCTGTTCTTAGAGCACAAGCAGCAGGGGAACGAAGCGGTGAAAGCCCTTGAGGTCTCTCCGTCTCCCCTCGCTCATGTGGTTGATTCTTCTCCTTCAGTGGCACCTCGCCATCAAGCAGTATACAGAAGCCCTTCGCAATGCTCCCTCCCATTACTTTCAGCCTGAAGGACAAGCGGCGCTGGTGAGAAGCAGGAGCAGGAGAATGAAGAGGAGGAGAGGAGGAGGAGGAGGAGGGTGAGAGACGTGCAGGTGCTAAGCAACAGGTCGATGGCAAACCTGAAGGCTGGCTACCTGGACAAGGCGATGGAGGTGAGAGGAGGGCAAGGGCGATGAGCGCGTGATAAGCGTCAGGACGCGAGCGAGTGTTGCCGGCTTTGCCCGCGATGGAGCAAGGCTTACTTCCGACGAGCCGAAGTGTCTCGGTGACCCTGAGGGAGAAGGAGGAAGAAGACTGATGCCAAGGTCAGGTACCAGGGCCGATGGCAGCTGGCAGCCGACGATTATCGCAGAGCCAGCGAGCAGGTGTCCGCGAGATGAGGGGCAGAGGAGGGTTGATATGGTTGCAGGACCCTGAGGACGAGCATCTGGTAAGGATGCTGAAAGAAGCTGAGGAGAAGGCCAAGCTCGCTGCCTCTCCTCTCGAGTTTCTCTTCCCCTGGGAGGTCTCAGTCTCGTCCCTCCTCCTCCGTCTCTCACAGACCTCGCAGGAGCAGGCGGGCTTAGATCATCGCTCCGTGTGGCCGGCTCGCTGCGGAGTCGGCGGGTTCCTGTTGTAAGAGGAGGAGCACGAGCAGCAGGAGCAAAAAGGGGGTTGGGGGGGGAGAGGAGGAGGAGGAGGA